ACAACCGGGGTGAGGCACCCCCGCACTAGCTACTTCCCCCCAGCAGACTAGGGAGATGCGAAGCTAGCGCGTCCCCCTCCCCCCGCCCAGCAGACCAGGGAGAGGTGGAGCGGCTTTTCTCAGCAGACACCTCAGTTTGAGATTAAAGGACTGAGGGAAGTGAGGTGTGGGAGAATAAAACTGAGCTCTGGAGAAATGTTTGGCTAGAGTTTCCCCTACAATATGTACCAGTTCCGACTTACATACAAATTCAACTTAAGAACAAACCTACAGTCCCTATCTTGTACGTAACCCGGGGACTGCCTGTACTCAAAAACTGCTATCGTGTGCCCTCTCAGTCTTCTCTTTTCTAAACTAAACAAACCGAATTCTTTCAGTCTTCCCTCACAGAGCATGTTTTCTAGACCTTTAATCATTTTTTGTTACTCTTCTCTGGACCTTCTCTGATTTCTCCACATCTTTCTTGAAATGTGGTGCCCAGAACTGGACACAATACTCCAGTTGAGGCCTAATCAGAACAAATTTACATCAACTTTAGCCACATATGGTCGATTTTGTAAGTGATGTGTTCACACTATCAAGTCTGTCACATTGACCTTAAGTCAATTTAAGTACTCCTGCTTTTCATAAGTACTCCTGCTATTCCCAATCTTGCATGCTCAAATTTATGGTAGTGTAGATTCAGCATGGGCAGAAAGTCAAGGCAATCTTCGCCTCTGGGAGGCCTGCTGCCTTTCTACCCCTGACTGCTCTGGCCGGAACTTGTATCTCTCTGTTCTCCCTGGTGAGCAAAAAGAGACATGGGAAAGATTGCTTGGCTTTCCCAGGTGGTCAGGGTTGTGAACACATTTAGAGACAGCAGCACGCGTAGAGATGACATTGAACAATCCTACCAATGTTGTGACAACTTGAATACTTCTTTTCTCATGGGCTCTTCTTCCCAGGGGCACAGAAAAGAGCCAGCATGGAGTGTCCAGGAGACCTTGAACCTCATTGAGGTGTGGGGAGTTAAAGTCATCCTCCCCAAGTTCCAAACCAGCAAGAGGACTGCCAACATTTACAGCAACATTTCAAGATGCCTGATGGCTAAAAGCTATTCCAGGGGTGCCCAGCAGTGCCGAGTGAAAATCAAGGGGCTAAGGCACTGCAGCATAAGGCCCAGGTTTCTAGCCACATTCAGTCAGCATCCACTCCTGGTCATTCTGTGTGATCTGGAGAAGACGGATATCTTGCATGACAACCAGGAGGAAGGGGGAGGAAACCTATTAGCACTCTCCCTGGGAAGCCACATGTGCCAAACACCCATTCTCCCTCCTCCCCAGGGGCAGGAAAGAAAGCAGTGTCCCCAGGAACCATGTGTGCCAGATACAACAAGTGCTGGAGACCGCAGCAAACTGCTCCATCTTTTCCACCTCCTGCTTTCAGGCCCTGGTCTGGCTGGGAAATTAGCACTGTCCTTGGAAGCCACATGTTCCGGATCCAGCTGGACATGTGCTGGACACAGTGGCAAACTGCCCTCTCCCACATCCCTCCACTCCCACCTGCAGGCTCCTGCCCTGGCTGGCCCCTTACCATGCCTGCTTGTCTCCAGACCAAGTGCATCCCGATGTTCCCCTGAAAAGTCTGTGTGCTTGCTTTAAAGTTCCCATTTTAAAACACACATTTGTCCTTGAATGGAACACATCTCCTTTGTCTTTATAGAGACCTTTGGTGTAGGATAATGGATTAGGGTTAGGCTTCATACAATGTATATACTGTAAAGTCTGCCCTTGTAACTTTTCTTTGCTGCTGGGACAGCAGCTAGCTCGGTGTGAACTCCTGCCTGGCTCAGATCCACAGGTGAAAGCAGACAAGGGAGGAAATGTTCCGTGAGTAGATGGACTGCATGCACTCCCTTGTGGAGGAGATGTGGGCAGACTGCCTGGACATGATCGCGGAGTGCCAGGATAGAAGAACTGCCAGAGAGGAGCAGGCGAAGCAGCAAGAGACCATGTTTGCCTCCCTGACTGCTGTGGTAGAGTATCTGGAATCATGCCTGGGGAGGGCCTGTTTCCAGAACCTTTCCATGCTTTCAACCCTAACTGTGAAATCAATGGGCCTGATTCACTATTGCATTTTTATGCCAACATAGCACTATTAAAATCAGCAGAAATATACCATTGTTAAAATCTTGATAAAATGTTGTCACTTTGAGGCTTTCAGTGAAATTAGTTCTCATTTAAAAACCATTCTAGTCAATTGCAATAACTCCAATTGGCTTTGGATCCATTGCTCACTAAGGGTATGTCTATACTACAGCACTAATTCGAACTAATTTAATTCGAATTAGTTAATTCGAACTAAGCTAATTCGAATTACTGCATCTAGACCTAAAAACTAGTTCGAATTAGCATTTTGCTAATTCGAACTAGCATGTCCACACTGAGTGGACCCTGAACCGAGGTTAAGGATGACCGGAAGCAGTACCGGTAGGGCATCAGATTAGGACTTACAGCGTGGAGCTGCTGCCTCAGGCTAGCCGAGGGCTGTGCTTAAAGGGACCGTACTCCCACCCCAGACAGACAGTTCTCAGGGGTTCCCCGCTCGCTTGTCTAACTTGATGAGGGACAGCAAAGCAGTCCTGGCTTGCAGTGCCCTGAATGCCCACACTCGGCACATCACAGCACTCGGCCATCAGCCCGGTGGCACTTGCCGCAGGCTGCCATCCGGGGAGGGGGGTCAATCGAGGTGCTGCAGGAGAACTTCCAGCCCGGGGAGCCCGCAGAGCCAGCCCAGTTCTCCCCATCGGGGGCTTGTACCCCATTCCTCCCTCACTTCCTTCCACTTACCTCTCCCTAGTCCCCCTTCCTGATGTACAAAATAAAGGACACGTGTGTTCAAAAATAGAAACTCTCTTTATTTAACAAAACTGGGGGGGAGGAATAAAACTGTGGGGAGATGGGGGAAAGGAGGCGGGAAAGGGCAGGAGAGAGTGTGGGAGAGGGGAGGGGGAAAACTGGGAGGAGGGAGCTGGAAGGGGGAAGCAAGGGAAAGGAGGGGGAGGGGAAACTCAGGGATTGGGGTGGGGGTCTCGCTGGGCCAACCGCCTCCGAGCACGGCGAGGGAGGGGGTCTTGGCAGCCCCGGGG